AAAGGGTCAAAATTACCCGTCAACAGAAAATTCATCTAATTAGACAAGGATTAGGGTTTAAGATTCAGCCCTGGACAGCGAGGACTTAATTGGCACCAAAATTTAACGGAGGATGAAAGTGGTCTATTTTCAAATAGTTTAAGGATACTTTTGACCTTTTTTCGTTAATACAATGATGTCACTTATAAAAAATTTAGAGTACTGGGGTTATCCAGGGATCCTGTCTCAACCCTTATTCGATTACCCTATTGCGTTTCTTTTGATTCCAAGCCCATCCCAAATCATGCTAATGGCAAGTCAGATGAAAACTAGTTGAAACGTGCCCCAATACCTTACCAATGTTTGAGTTCCTTCAGCTTTCATTCTCAATTTACCAAGTAGACAAGGAAGCGCGTGATGACTCCTTTCCCTGAAAAGGTTCCAGCAAGGGGAAACCTTAGTAGTGTAAATTTTCAGTTTGCCAACGCTACAGTTCCACAGTAACATCTTAGCTGACATTTGACACATGCACTGTAGTGTGAAAGTTTGGAATGACAAGCTGGAAGTTGAGGTCTGATTGAAGTATAAAGAGTAGGTAAGCCATAAGAACCACAATCTGCAATAGTTGTGTGTTGTCTTACCATTATTTCTGTGGTTAGTTGATCTATGGTCTATGGATTCTATTTCTCACTGCATGCACAAGTGAGTATGTGACTTCTGAGAATTCAAATGAATTTACATTTAGCATGAAAATCTAGTTTAAGTTTCTGTTATCCTAGAAAGCAAAAACTTCCATATACATCGTTTTCTTTCTCGCCTTCTGCTCTGCTTATTTATCTTTCTTTATGCAGGTATGCTCAAACAGTTCCTGGAAGGGAACTTTTTGTAGAAATGCAAAGAGATCAATCCCTGGAACACCGAAATGCAGATGCATATGACTGCTCCAACTTTGTTGACTTAGATTGGTTGTCTTCTTCTGGGAATTCCTGTGAGGAAGAGTTATTGGACAGGTAATTGATTGACTTAAATTTCAGGTTTTTGGATAATAAGGTGAGGCTGGACATTACAGCTGAGATATTTGCTTTCTTATGACATGTTTCGTCGAGGTTTAAATTCTCTCAAGTTCAGTTGGCTTTAGAGTCTTAGAGGAACTAAGTCACTGCTGATGCCATCTTTTAATCTGATTCCTTTAATGAAACGGTGTTTATTTCTGCATTTTTCAAACATAAAACTTATATGTCCCATCAACTCAGTTAGCTGAGAGCCTGAGAAACTTTGCACTTAGGTCATTCCAAAATGTTCACTACTCTTCTATGCAACTCTTAATTTTGTGAATCCAAATTATCTATTTACTGATATTTCAAATGTTTTAGTATGCTTTCCTTTTCATTTCAACTTTTGTTTTATACTGGTATCTAATTTTAAGACTAAAGCCCGTTCTTTTTTGCTTTGGCGATGGATACACCGACACGTCATATTCAAGGGGAGGTGCCATGGTGTATGTTATTCGCTGACGACATAGTACTGATTGATGAGACGCGAGGCGGCAATGGCGGATCCACGTTATGTACTATGGGTGCTTGAGCACCTATTGCTTTTGAAAACAACACTACTACTTATATAGAAAATTAGTTATTTAAACAAATATATTAGCTAAGCACCCAGTCTAAGTAGTAAATTTTAAATTAAGAATAATTGAGCACCCACGATCTAAAAATTCTAGATCCTCCACTGTGAGGCGGTGTCAACGAAAAGTTGGAGGTTTGTAGACAGACCTTAGAGTCTAAGGGTTTCGAGTTGAGCAAGACGAAGACGGAGTACCTAGAGTGCAAGTTCAACGTAGTCACATGGGGAGCAAATATAGCCGTGAGGCTTGATTCACAAGTCATCCCCAATAGAGGAAGTTTCAAGTATCTCAGGTCAGTTATCCAAGGGAGCGGGGAGATTGGCGAGGATGTCACACATCGTATAGGGGCGGGGTGGGCGAAATGGAGGCTAGCATCTGGCGTCCTGTGTGACAAGAATGTGCCACCAAAACTTAAAGGTCAGTTCTACAAGGCGACGATTAGACTGGGTATGTTGTATGGGGCAGAATGCTAGCCAGTCAAGAACTCCCATATCCAGAAGATGAACGTAACTGAAATGAGGATATTGCGATGGATGTGCGGGCACATTAGATTGGATAAGGTTAGGAATGAGGATATTCGGGAGAAAGTGGGTGTGGCCTCTATGGAGGATAAGATGCATGAAGCGAGGCTTAGATGGTTCGGGCATGTGAGAAGGAGAAGCCTAGATGCCCCAGTGAGGAGGTGTGAACAGCTGGCACTGGCAGGTAGGAGAAGAGGTAGAGGGCGGCCTAAGAAGTATTGGGGAGAGGTGATCAGGCAGGACATGGCGCGACTTCAGCTTACATGGCCCTTGACATGAGGGTATGGAGGTCGAAGATTAGGGTAGAAGGGTAATAGACCATCGTGTGTTTTTCTGATCTGTTCCAGGTTTATTAGGGCTAGCTGACTAGTACATTGTCTTCGATTCTTAGAGTGCCAGTATTAGGGTTGTTTTAGTACTATCTTCTGTTTCGGTTTTCGAGTACCTTGTTGTGTTACTACTTGTTTCTATTGCTTTTGCTATTGCTCTTTCTACCGCTTTCTTCCATTTGTTTTTCTCCGGTTCTTACATTGCTGGTGTCATTTTCCTGGCCTTGTTGTTGTTATTTACTTTTTCCTATTCTTCCTCTCGAGCCGAGGGACAACCTTCTGCCCCCAGGGTAGGGGTAAGGTCTGCGTACACATTACCCTCCCCTCCCCGGACCCCGCTTGTGGGATCCCACTGGGTTGTTGTTTAATTTTAAGACTAAAGTGTTGTGCAGTGAAATTAATTTTTTGTGAAATAGGAGATCGAATTGCTTTCAAGTTCTTAAATCTTCTATCAGTTCTAGTACTCTTGAGAATTCACTTGCTTTCCACTATGCCTTTAATTTTCTTGGGTTGTATAATTTACCACTGGTCATGCTCTATCAGTTGGATATGTTATGTGGGCAGTATTCCTGTTGCCAATCTGTATTTTTTGGTTCAAAAGGTTTGCTTCAACTGATTATTTTGGTGATATCTATTTATGATAAGGTGGTTTTTAATCTTGATTGTTGTGTAGGAATTAGGCAAACATTGCAAAAGAGTTGAGGGTTGACAGTTACACTTACTTTTTCTTTCCCCGTGTTCTAAAATTTCTCATAATGGTGTTGTCAAGTTGCTGTTCCATAATCGTGAACTGCAGGAAGAGTAATTGTTGACTTCCTCCATCTAGAACTGATTGCACATATGATGTAAATGTTAGAGTTTACTTGGAGAAACGATGTCATTGATGCCTTCTATGGATGCAGGTCATTGTTCACAAACTCGCCAATAGGTGGACTATCATCAGAGAATGTTGTCAGTAACATAGTGGGGGAAGCAACTACTCCATTCTCCAGTGAAGGTGGATGTAGCATGAATGTTGGTATTTCAGTTACTTCACAAGTAAGGCTTCTACACTTATTTTTTTTGCCAAACCACTCAAGTGATGTTCTTGAGTGCTACTTCATATCACCAAAAAAAGATTGCATGAGGAGGTGCTTATAAAAGCCTTGCCTCCTATGTTACACTGGGAAATAAGTAAACCTATCCCTATACAAAAGTTATGTTAAACGAAATGAGGAGGACTTCTCCTTTACGAGATGTATGCATTTGATATTTTAAAAGCATATCTAACTAAATGTTAGAACCTATCTATTGACAAAAGTAGTGGTTCATCCAGGTTCAAAAGAAAATTTACCTTTCTTCACACGAATTCAAGGAACCTGGCAATCCATTTTCATCATTCTTCAATGTGGCTATAACTTCTATAGGGAAATTTATGTCCTTGGGGAAGAATGAATTCAAATTTGCTCCCCCAAATTTGAAAGTTGGTCAGCCACAATTAGCCTCCCTGTAACAATACCTTGTGTGCTCATTTGTTGTGCCTCCCGGATGTCTTCTTTTATCTGCTAGCAAGCTTTAATTTCCTTCTTGATTGTGATAAAAATAAAATTAGGTTCTACTCTTACCCTGTGATAGTCATGATCAAAGCACCATTGTAGTCCAATCTTCCAGGCTTGGATCTCATCTTTATTGTTGTTGCAGCCAAAATAGGCAGTGAATGCTATCACCAAGTGTCCTTTGTGATTTCTCCATGCCAGCCCTTACTACAACCATCAACATTCGGTGTAGCTTGGTTTAATTCATCTAACCAACTTGATAGCAAGTATATATGGCCGTGAACTGGAAAGATCTAAAGAAGGAAATTGTGAGTTAAGCAAAAGTTGAATCAAATTGGAAGCTTGATCTATAATCATACTAGTTGAACTTTTGTTCCATCATACTCAATCGCACATATGTGCTTCCCTATTTCCCATAGCAAACTGATGGTAAACATTGCAAAATCTGCTCATGAACTTTGTTGTCAGGGTTAGTCAGCCACCACCTAATAACTTTAGTTCTGAGATTTCCACCTGAGAAGACAACAATACCACAGGATTATTGGTAGTGAATGATTATTGGTAACTGGGCAGCTACTAACAGAAAAGTTGTTGAAGAATGTCTTGCTTAGTGGAGAAACAACTATTTCTTGTATGTCATCGACACTTTGCTAGACTTTCTCAACTCCCTGAAGGATTGAAATAACTGTTTCCTTGATCCTCCCTGTACATGTCCAGCACTCTGTTGGTGCTAGTTTCATAAAAAAGAAAGAAGAAAAGAACAAGGTTATCTGAACAATTTTAGCAACTTTCCTCAAATGTGCTGGTTCATTACAGTCACCCTTGACATACGATTGTAGTTGCTTCTGATTTGAAGCCATGTTTTGACCGACTCAGTTTTTGTTTTCGGTAAAATTTACAAACCATATTAACAATAAATTAATGCTATATTAGTATGTCTAAGTTACTGGGCAGTGTTGTCTACTTTCTCTTTGCTTGATATTCAACTATAGAATTCATTATCTGCAGGTAATCGAAAATGCTGGAGCAGAGGCATCCTATAGTGATACCCAGAGCTTTGTAGTTGTCGAGGAACTTTCAGATAGCTTTGTACGTTGGATAAACTATGGAGAGACACTGTGTCATTGATGCCTTTGAACATTGTAATTCATGCCTTTTTCTGCGAGTCGTGATAGTAAACGGGCCGGCACCTTCAACTCATTCTAGCACTGGCATGCCTCATGTTTGGAAAAATGTTGCGTGAGCAGTATATGAGGAAACACACCACATCTGTTGTATCAGCATTCTTTTTACAATTTTTCCTGACTAAGCAAACCATCTAGGCTTGCATTTATTTGATTGTTGAAATCATCGGTCCAGTTGGATAAATGGATACCACTAGTACATAGCCAACAGTTATAAAATTCTTTGTGGAAGTCTTTTCACGGAATGTAGGTTCCAATGTTGTAAATAGACAGGTTTGACTTGCTAAAGCTCCATTCGACAATTGTAGAACAATTTTTCAGTGCAAACACATACTTCCATATATTGGAAGTGACGTCTAATCGTGAAATAAGCTCTTGAAGAAACTAAATTGCTACTTGTATGGTCCATATGGATTTCTAGCAGCAGCCTGGTCATCTTAAAGTTGTTAACTGTTTTGATTCTTTTCCTGGCAAATCAGAGTTATTTTCTTGCTCTGGGCATGAGTTATGCCCTGATACATGTATTTTGATCTGTCAATTTTATGTTTTTCCCCTTCTTTAAGTTGACAGTTAAGAGCAAAACTTGAAAACATACCTAGGATTTTGGAAATTCTAGATATTAAACAACATTAATTATAAGTTCTTAACTTGAATTCGTGGCAGGAATCTTACCTTGGGTGGATTGGAAAACTTTTAAGTCGTTATTGCTTTCAAAAATCTCTCAAAAATGTTATAGAAATAAGTGGATTTATCTCTCCCTAAAGTAAGTTTATATCTGATGAAATTTTGGGCTTGGAGAATTACTGTGTGTGGACAATCGGAGCACCAGGCAAAATTTGAATTTTTTTCAGATGTTGTTTGAGCCACAACCGTGGCACAAGAATTCCGAAATTTTTCTGATTTTATGGTGCTATGCTTGTGCGACATACTAGTCTTGGACCAACCCTTCCGGCATTTTATTTTGTCCATTTTGAGTATTTTCAAGCCACCTTATTATTTATACTAAGTTTTATAATATATTAAATGTTTGTTAATATTATTTAATCACTCTATTTGCCTTAAGAAAGCTTCAAGTTAGCTAAACTACATGTTGGTTATTAATTTCTTCTCCGCTTATATGATATTTAACCTCGAATATCGAATCCTAGTCACGAAATGAATCTTCGAAAAAGCTTTCTGAATTCAGATCTTCTAATAGTGATAGATTCCTATACCGTGGTCCCGATAGCCGGGATTAGCAATCATCAGTTTAACTAGGTAAAGATACTTTTCTTTTTCGTATTGATTTTCTCTTAAATCACACTCAACGTGGAAGCTAGAGATAATCAAGCCTTTTATAATTTAGCTCAGGGATTTTCATCTACCTTGCTTTGCCTAAAGCCATTCTGATGCACTCACTTGCATCCAACACTGGCAATACACAAATGAATAATAAACCCTTACACCAACGCCCATTCTAACAACAGTCACTTAAAATCTAACTCCAGCATTAAATCAGCCAAAGCTATTAGATGCACCAATCTTCCCTGCTCTCATGCCTACTTTAGCAACGAAGAAAGGGCAGAACGAAGATACAAAGAAACATGGCGACCATATAGTTATAGAAGTGACACTGAAGCATAGCTAGAAGTATAATTTTACACTAGCAGCTGAAGATACAAGGAATTCGATGTGTAGAGAAAGTAAAAGTAAAAAACTGGTAGATCTTTGAAAGTTACTCTACACAAGTTAGTCTGAGCATGAATTCACTACCACATCATGGAATTTGCATACATCCACTAGGACATGCAACATCCATCATCAAATTCGTGGGGCAACACACATAATGCAATAAACACTGCATTTTCGAAAGATGACTTTTCCTGTGTCAGTAACTGATTCTGCAACAAATCATTCGCTAAACGGCGGTGGAACACATTGCCCGTCACATGGGATGAAGGTTAAGTAGTATGAGAGTTCTACAGCAGGTTGTAATCTCCAGAAGACTCAATAATATATGCATGCATTATGTTGCGCGGACTCACCAAAATGCTGCTGCACCCGTATCGAATCCTCCAAAAATGCACTACTTTTGGAGGATCCGTCACGCACCCAATGACATTTTGCGGAGAGTTCGAGCAACATAGTGCATGCAAAATAAGTTTTTTTAACTTAATTAAACATGCATAATACGTTGTTAGAACTGCCAATGCCTGAGATTGTTACCAAGATGAGATCTCCGGCATTTACTACACCGGGTAAGAAGTTGAGAAGAAATCCCTCATTATTATAACCGAGGCTGGAGTAACCTCCCCTTAAAGGAAAAGGCAATAAACAATACATGACAGGTAGTTAGATGAAAACTATACATTTGAAAAATTTGTCAAACGCAGGTGAGAGATAACACTCACTTATTCTTCAAATTTAATTGAAAAGGGAATTCCATGCCTACCACATAAACAAGAAATTAAATGTTTTCTTTGTAACATATGATGAAATGATATCATAAAATTATCAAGTATAACCACTTGGACAGAGGTTCAAATATTTCAGGATAGACAATTGAATCATCAAAAGAGTGAAAAGAAAACCTATTAGAACAACTGAACAAGACCATGTGCTTTTACCAGCCACCTCCACCTCTTCTATCTTGCAACTCTGCTTGCCTCTCCTCTTTCAGTTTCTCCGCAATTTTAAGAATATCTCGGTTATAGAAACGATCGTGCACAAACTTTCTTTCTTCAGCTTGTATCTCCTTGATAGCACTTGGATATGGATTAGGAGGTGGTTTCTTCCCTTGAAGTCGTGCAATCTGCTTCAGTCGAGAATATGCTTTCTTTTTTGCTTTTCTCTCTGCTCGATACTCCATCTATAACAACAAAGACACAGTTTTTAAATGAGAGATCCTAGAAGAAGATTGAGCCTCAACGAATTTGAATATAGAAAGACAAAATATGTACATCAGCAACAGCCATTGCTTCCTCTTCACTGACCCCCTGCTCCTTTAAATCGAGCACTCGCCCTCCGAATATACGGGCTGGAGGAGGATCAAATCCGGAAATCCTGTTAGAAGTATTAAGAAAATAAAGCCTCAATTGTGCAAAAAGGTAAATTCAACATGCCAACTTCTCCTATAGGAAAATAACGAATAACATAAAATACTGATTCTGTCCTCGAGTGGACAACATAAGATGTGCTGAGACCATAGATGATCTTTTACTTTTACTCCTCGATATAGTACTTTTCATATTATGTAATTAGTAGCACCTTTCCCTACTTCTTCCCTTGACGGGCAGCATATTGCATGTTAAACTAGCAAGATTAAAGCCTACATATTCATGTTGAGACCTTAAACTAAAGGATCAACAGTATAACACGGCATACGCCTCGAGGGTAATTTATTATCTGAGCACATTATAATGCATATGATGATTGTAGGAGTCCAAAAATACATACTCAGAACCATGAATAGGTTAGAAGCCATACTTAATAGCATCCTCGTGTTTAGATTCTGGATGCTTCTGGAAGAACTTCTTGATATAGACATCCTCTGGTAGACTGATGGGTTTCAGTTTCTTTTCGGCACGAGGGAATGTTGCCGGTGGAGCCCTGGTTTCAAACAAAATTCCAAGCAACAACCAGCATTACGAGCACAATTTCATACTTCAAGGCAAAATGGATAAAGTTTATAGCAAAATTACGTCTAAGAATTCTACGAGCATTTTAACACTTCTATTAGAAGCCTGTTGCTCATCAAAGTCCAGGTAACGGAAGAAAGATAGCATTCTGGCAAGACAACTCGAGAGGTCACTTACCTGTGAAGGAGCAATTCCCTGAACTTTTTCAGTTAGCCAGAACAAGGAGGCAAAGTTGTACTGGTACTTTTCAGACACAGGATAGAACATAACTTTGAGAAGGAATGTCAATGACTGGGTTCTACTAGACGAACTGAGTTCTTTATATTTTTACAGGGATACCAAGGCTGCATACTGAGAAGGATAAGTTATTCTGGAAGCAACAAAGTAAAGGAAACTTCACTGTCAAATCCTGTTACAAGGCCCTAACACTAACAAATACACAATTGAGGAGCCAGTGACGATGCAGAAGATTTGGAAAACAAATGCTTCCTACAAAGTCAAATGTTTTTCATGGTCGGCATCCCAGGAGATAAACAAAGGAAAGGATACAACATGTGCAACATGTGTTTACTTAGGCGAAAAGGAAAAGTGAAGGAAATAACCACATATTCCTTCACTGTGAAGTGACTGCAGAATTATGGAACATGTTCCTGAATATATTCGGTCTGAAATGGTCAATGCCAAAATCAACATAGTTTCCTGGAAAGCTGGTATAAAGTATAAACCTGATTTGAGCAAACAACACAAAAGAAGATACAGGTAACAATTGCGGCTTGTATTTGGTGGAACCATACGAAATGCTAGGAGTTTTGATAGCAAAGCAGAGTCAATCAGTACAAATTCCTAGCTAACATTGTTGTCTTTCTGGTGCAAGAATGACTATATTGAGGATGCTGTTAATATGCTGGATTTCATAAGCAAGCTTCAGAATTAGGAAAGGATGTAATTACTTTTGTTTGTAACACTGCAGCACCTACTTATAACGCTGTTATTTAATAAAATTATCTTTTACTGATAAAAAAAAAAAACGAAGGGAAAAACAAAAAGAGGGAGAGTAGGAGCTTACTGTTCCATAGCCTTGAGCCAGACAGGCTCGGCCTTGGCGAAGCCTTTGACAAGCTTTCTCGTTCTACTCAGCAAATCACCTTTCATGAACGACATCCTTCCCCTGATCTCAATTAATTTCATGAAATTAACATCCTAATATGATTTTTCACAAAAAAAAAAAAAAAAAGAAGAGAGAGCGTGAAAGAAGACAAGATTCTCACCTTCGGTGGTGGAAAATGAGGACTTTGATGTGGCGGCCGGCGGAGGAGGAGAAGGAGATGGGTTTGGGGGGTTTTCAGTTCAGGAGGTAGGAGAGGAGAAGATGCCACTGGATTTGGGCCCAATCCTTAATACATTTGGACTCCAGCCCATTCTGCTTCAGAACGCCTCCGGCCCAGATATTATGTCGACACTTGATTAGTTGCGTGAAATAGTCACTTTATTATCATTTAGCCAGTATTTAAAAAGCCAGTATAATAAATACAATAAACCGAACATTATTATCATCTCCAAAAATCACTCAATCGTAAATTTCACTGATAAAGACTACATAAGCGACACGCATACCCTAAAATTAGTTGCATAATTATATGTAATTGAAATGTTTTGAGAAGAAAAATTTACTGTCACCACATTAAAATAAGGGTTTCGATGTAAATTTACTTCTCTTATACACAACTCCTCAACGTCCTTCAAAACAGAACCTCTATTTGAATTGTGAGCAAGGTTTGACGGGTGATTT